CTGAGATACCCGGCTGCAAATCAATGAAATGAAACGGGGACACGGGAGGGGGGAGGGGAGTGAGTCACTGGGACACCCTAGAGATCATCCTTACCAGGTTCTTGTGAGCGTAATACAACTCCTCCTCTTCCTCCTCCTTTTAAAGACGAGATTGGACAACCATTGGTTTGAGATGTGTAGGGTGTAGGGTTTCCTACTTGAGCAGGGGGTTGGACTAGAAGACCTCCAAGGTCCCTTCCAACTCTATGACTCTGTTATTTTTGTTGTTCATCCTCTGATGTTCTTCCACCTGGATTCTCCACCAGTGAGGTGAAGCTCTCGGTCGTGACGTATCTCACCAACACCATTGTGGAGGAACTCCTGGAGGAGTTGTATTACGCTCACAAGAACCTGGTAAGGATGATCTCTAGGGTGTCCCAGTGACTCACTCCCCTCCCCCCTCCCGTGTCCCCGTTTCATTTCATTGATTTGCAGCCGGGTATCTCAGCCGATCAGAGTGACCTTGTTTGAACTTGGAAGCTAAGCAGGGTCGGAGGTGGCTGCTAATTGGATGGGAGACATCCGGAAGTCCCAGAATTGCCAGCAGGCCTCGACATACAACCGTTTGTGGGGTGACCGCTCGAAGTTACAACCACACTGAAAAAGGAGACCGATGACCAGTTTTCACACTTATGACCATTGCCGCATCTCGGTGGACCTGTGATCCAAATTAAGATGCTTGGCCATCGGCTCGTATTTATGACGGTCGCCATGCCCCGGGGGTCACGTGGATCCCCTTTTTACGACCTTCTGACAGTCAACCGCAATGATCCACGTAACAACAGTGGCAAGGAACGTCGTAAAACGGGGTAGACTCCCTTCACAAATGTCTCACTTAGCAACATCAATTTTGGGCTCCATTGTGGACGTAGCTCAAGGACTGCCTGTACTTAACGACCCATAATGTGTGTTGTGAGCAAGACTAAGAAATTCGTTCGGAGAGTTTTGCCCCGTTTTATGACCATTCTTGCCACAGTTGTTAAGTGAAGCACTGCCGTTGTTAAGAACCCGGTTGTTAAATGAATCTGGCTTCCCTCCCCCAAACTTTGCTTGTCCGAAGGTCGCAAAAGGAAGAACCACACGACCCCGGGACACTGCAACCGTCATAAATATGAAGCAGTTGTCAGGCATCCGAATGTAAATCACACGACCACAAGGTCATAAGTGTGAAATGCGGTCATAAGTCACTTTTTTTTCTGTTGCCACTTCAAACGGCCACCAAACTCTTTTAAGTCAAGGATTATGTTGTAGTATTGATTAGATGCTTATTTAAACCTTTCCAGTAGGAGGCAGTAAAGAGCTACGGGGGGGAAATACAAATCTTTGCTGCCCTCTAGTGGCCACTGGATTTTTTAAAAAAAATTTCAACCCGAACAGAGTCACCTTAACCAACAAGTTATCTCAAGGACTCATCTTCTTCTTCATAATCTCTTGCGGGGTGGAATCAGGGCAACTGAATGGAGCTGAGTATTTACTGGCTGGATGCCTTTCCCTGTTGCCAGTGAGGAGTTTTCTTCAGCAGGTAGATTCTCATTGTGCCCAGAAAGAGAAATATCTGCCTCTACCTAGGATTGAACTCACAGCCTCATCAGTGTGAGGCAAGATATCTACCTCTAGGCCACCGCATCAGCTTTAACCATAGGATCATCATCTTTTAACAACCCCGTAATCCCTTGCGGGGTGGAGTCGGGGCAACTGAATGGAACTAGCAGAGTGTTTACTGGCCGGATGCCTTTCCCCGTTGCCAGTGAGGAGTTTTCTTCAGCAGGTAGATTCTCATTCTGCCCAGAAAGAGAAATATCTGCCTCTACCTAGGATTGAACTCACAGTGTGAGGCAAGAGCTCCCCCTCTAGGCCACCGCACCCCTCGGGTTCCCTCGTTTTATTTTGGATCCCCCTTGTGTTCAGCTCCGGTACTGCAGATCCGTTCTCGGGGGATAATTGCAAGCTGACGGCTTCCGTCTTCCCTCTCTCCTGTGTCTCTCTCCAGGCCCAGCACATCACTCATCTCCACCGGCTTTCGGAGAGCCAGGATAACCTCATCCTTCCCGAACATCTGGGGAAACCCCAACTCCAGGCCCCAAAAGATTTCACCGACCACGAACTCGATTCCAACATCGTAAGTGGATCCGGGCGGTATTGCAGGCGAAGGGCCTGGTTTTGGCAAATTCGTGCCTTGTGTAGAGTTTGAGTGACGGCGCGACCAACATCGGCTTAGATCGTTAAATGAACGATCACTTAAATTGGCAATTGTTATGTGCAACGTAATCCTAGGCTGCATCAACAGAGGGATCAAGATCAAGATCAGAAGGGTTAATACCGCTTTATAAGGCCTTGGTAAGGCCACACTTGGAATGCGGCATCCAGTTTTGGTCGCCATGATGTAGAAAAGATGTGGAGACTCTAGAAAGAGTGCAGAGAAGAGCAACAAAGAGGATTAGGGGACTGGAGGCTAAAACAGATTAAGAACGGTTGCAGGCACTGGGTAGGGCTAGTTCAATGAAAAGAAGGACTAGGGGGTGATACGATAGCAGTCTTCCAATATCTCAGGGGCTGCCC